GCCCCACGGAGGGGGGCAGCAGGCAACACCCACCCGCACCTGCATTCACCACGTCGACCCCCAGCATCACCTCTACACATCCCCACACACGCCTGCCCCACAAAGAGGCCCCTTGGGTGACCAGCACCACGCTCCCTCCCCACACTACACAGTCTGTAATGCAGATACTTAGATTTGTACTTTGTGTTATACTGCAGCAGTGTACTGCTATGGTTGTACCCAGTTGTCAGAGATACTCCTCACCATTCTCAAACCAGGTCCCTACACTTGCCCTCCTGGTTATTGTGCCATCTGTGTACCAATTCCAGTTTGCAGATGATTGTGTTTTTCCTCATGTCATTTACCAGCCATCTCCTACCCCTCAAATTTATTTCCAGCAGATGGCAACCTGGCTGTGCTGTTGCTGATTTCACCGTGGTTCTACTCCGGTCTCTGCACACCCTGCAAGCCAGAGAAGCACCTTTGTGCTCATGAGTCTCCAGGGTGGCCAGTGTCCTGGCAGCAGCTCCCAGCTCTCCTTGCCATTCCCCTTGAGTGGAAGAAGTTGCTCTCCACCATGGATGTGGCACTGTCTGAAGGCAAAGCAGTGTGTGCACAGCACATGCCATCCTTTCCACTTGGCAGCTGTGTTTTCAGGCAGTTTTGGTGTGATACACCTGCAGTGGCCTTCCCGTGCCACAAGCGGTGGTGACCCTGCAGCCATCCCATGCCATGCCCAAGCAGAAGGCAGCAGGCAGGGTTTCTGCAAACGGCCTCAGCAGTAATTTTCTGAGGAGGTTTGGTGAGAATGACCTTGCCCAGGAGTATCCACTGTAGGTCGCCAGGTTGTGGTAGGGTCAGAGAGCTGCTTAGCACCCGCCGGGAGGTGCAAAATAGCCACGTCACAGCCGCTGGGACAGGTTCCACATGATGCACAGGCTCGGGCACGTAGGAGCCATAAGCAGGCGGCGGGTCCGAGCTGATGCTTTCCTCTCCCCCTCCTCCCCGGTGGGTAAATCCCATCAGCAGCTACCCTAAACTGCTACACTCCAGCCCTGATCCCATGTCGGGGGTCGACATCAGCCTCCGATCAGCCGGGCCAGGGTCGGACAGTCGGGAGGGACGCCCCTGTGCCCCGCCGAGGCCAGGGAACGGCAGGGATGGCACTGGGCACCGGCCCGGGGAAGGGGAGCGGCGTGGCGGAAAGGGGCCGCCCGTCTTCCATGCTCTCCGGAGAAGGAGGGGGAGGCCGGAGCTCAGCTGAGCTTTGTCCTGGGTTAATTTTAGCCCAGGGAGATAAGAGAGGGGAGGGGCATGGAGGGGCTTAAGGAGTCCCTCTGCGCCGGCAGGGGGCAGGCCTGGCCTCCGCCGTCCCTGCAGGCGTGGGGTGGGCTGCGGGGTGCCTGGGGAGCCAGCGTGGCCTGTCTGCTTTCTCCGGCCGCGGGGGGGGCCCGGCCGGACTGGGGGCTCGTCTCAGCCCGGAGAACGGGGTGGTGCAGTCAGCGGCTGTGGGGTGTCCGTGGCCTGTGCACTCCGGGGCCGGCGTCGTGCCGCGGAGTGGGGCGCAGGGGGCTCATTGGGGAGTGCATGGGAGGGTGACCATGGGCATGTATCTGAGTGGGGGGGTTCCCTGTCTGGGGAGGCGGGTACCTGTGGGGAGATAGTCTGTGGGGGTGTACCTGAGCAGGGGCGATTCCTGCGTGAGAGAGCGTACGGGTGAGGGGGTCAGCCTGCGGGGTTGCACCCGACTGTGGGTGTACACGCA